CCAGCTATTCTGGAATTCTGGGAGTTGAAGTCCACACATCTTCAAGTGGCCAAGGTTGACAGACACTGCTTTAGAAGGTCAACATAGTGTCATGTGGACATAGTGGCTGGCTCTACCTGATTTCCTCTCCCCATCTATTTCTTCTCCTTGTAGTGAAATGCGTCAAGTTCCTGACAACCAGGAAGTCTTCGTTCACCCCAGCACAGATCAGAGCATCATCATGGAACTACTGGAATATCAAGCAGGGGTGCCGGATGAAAATGCTGCCAGGTGTGTGGTCCAAAACGTGGACATTTCATTGCAGAACATACTGTTGCTGGAGTTAAAGCCTGCCTGGGAAAATTAGTCCCGAGGCAAAATTACACTCTTTGTAGGCTCAGAGACCTCTTAGCTGTGAACATATTAGAGGAATGCAATCTTCTTTAAGATATAATTTCCCAATTATTTATGTATGTTTTTAAAAAAGCAGGATTGGAACTACCCTGATGTTGGGGTCATTTGACTCTGTAAGTGCTTGTGGCAGTGATGAAACAAATGAAGATAAAAGGACTCAGGAGTTTTATATATGGCTCTTTGATCCAGTTTCCTGCATCTTCAATGGAAGGACTTATTTTGTTTTTTTTTACCAGCTGGAAATGTCATGGAAATACTTAAGCTTCCTAAAAAGGACTAACAAGAGTTGAAGGGCCATGGAGCTCAGTGATAATGTATGTGGTTGGCGCCTCCAGAGTCCTGGATTCAGGATCTAACATTGTCCAGATTTTAATTTAGAACTTTTATCTGGCCCATATTTTGCTTGGGACTCTTAAGTGTGCTATTTGAATTAGAGGCAAGGAATGCAGAAACGAACAATGCATTTCTCTGCAAGTTTACCGCCAAGGAAGTCTGTTGGCAGACTGGCTTATTCGCAGGATGAGCACGTGTATTTATTGGCGTTAATTAATCAGTGGCTAATTAGCATTAGCACCATTTATATGGCATTCAGTAAACTACTACTCTATATAGTGAAAGACTAAAATGTGGGCTTCCGTACTGAAGCCTGATGTGCAAGCAGGAGGAAGTAATATTGAGAGCTCCTGTTTTACTACAGGAGACCAGCTGCTGAGTACCTAGCAGAGAAGGGGATGTAGCTCAGTGGTAGAGCGCATGCTTTGCATGTATGAGGTCCTGGGTTCGATCCCCAGCATCTCCACTTTTAAAACTCCCTTGGGGGAAAACAATGACAAAACTTCACAGTGGGTGGCAGCATTTAGCTGAGCCTGGCTGATCTTCGTGAAACGGACACCAAGCAGGGGACAGGCTGCTTAGTCTCTGGGATGGGACACCACCAGAAAAGCCCAGGGCGATAAGCCGAGCTGAGAGGTTGAGGAAATATTACCAAAAACACTGCCTTGGTTGGGTCTAAGCAGCTGTGGGAATCGAGCACAGCTGAAAGGTGTCTTGGCATTACCCCTGCTCTAGGACTGAGAACAACAGCTTTTAATGTTTTGGTCCTCAAAAATAAGGGAAGCAGCTATCACCAGTTTTCACAACTGTAATGGAGGGCACTTAGGGGGGCTGGAAAAAAAAAGTACAGGGGCTGTAGGGCATCTTGTTACCCGCCCCTCCTTTAAATGAGCTTGAAATGGGCCTCCCTCAGTGCTTAAAAACAAATGTTTCTAAGATGTGATAAAATTCTGGTTTGCTTTATTTAGCCTAAAGTTGAAATGCAATTTTATCTGCTTAGATCAGTGTTTCTCAACCTTGGCCACTTGAAGATGTGTGGACTTCAATTCCCAGAATT